ACCAGGATGGTCTCGATCTCTTGACCTCGTGATCCACCCGCCTCGGCCTCCCAAAGTGCTGGGATTACAGGCGTGAGCCACCGCGCCCGGCTGCTCCCAGTTCTTGAAGCACTTCCTCAAAGTGGCAGGATAGCAATCAGCCCAACTTGTAATAATCAGCCGCGGGCTATCTCTGCAGAAGGGGACTGCCAGTTCCCAGACAGGCAGTGCCTCTCACTCTCCCGCTAGGTCTGTTTTCAAATAATATTTGTGTGATAGTATCAAATTCAGAGTATTTGGAAAAAATAGTAAGTCATCAGAATAAGGGCTAATTCTGAATTTTTCTTTGCCTAGCATACATACATCTAGAGTCGTAAAAACATTTGGGTGGCATTCCATCATTTGCTTTATGTGTCTTCTATGTGTGTGAACAGTCAGAAAACAAAGCCACTATTGAGTTATGTAAATGCAAAAGAGGGATGGGAATGAATGCCAACCTTCTGGAAATGCTGTTTTTTCACTTTGGGATAACTCCAATAACCAAATAGAATTTTCTGATACATTTGCCAAATAAGAAAGCTGAGGTTGAGAACTAGCCTGAGATATCTTAGCTTAATATATACGTTTTGGAGAGCAGGGTAAGAAAAACAAACTCTAAATACAAATGTAAAGGTTACGTCTTGACTTTTCCTATGGAATTATGTTATAACTTCCTCATAGAAGCATAAACATTTTAACATTCACTGTAAATATACTTCATTGGCATTACTTGCTTACCCCAAGACAAAAAAAAAAATCATCAGACTCCTACATGTTGCATTAACCTTTACTGGGTTAATGTTCTACTGCTGTTTCCTTTTTTCTATTTTTCTGTAACACCTCCTCTCCTTTGCAGTGAGAAAGTCAAAGCAGCTATGAAATGAAGCTATATTTGAAGTTTCTCTCTATTAGGTGTGTGTGTAAGAGCCAAACTCTTCAGGCTGAAAGGAATGTGGTATTTTATTACATTTGGATTCATGTCATTCCTTAATCCTTACTTGGTTTTCTTTTTCATAACCAACTCCTCTCATTCCCACCCCTTTCAGACCATCTTACAGTTAATTACTTTAGAATAATAGTGAGGAATTTGTGCAGTGTCTCAGTGGAAAAGAATGAAGAGAAACCCATGTTATGGTACCCGGATGAATGTCTTTGGATCTTCTCCTATCAAAACACATTACCTGAAGTAGAGATGAACTGGTATCCCACTAGTCTATGGCCTTACCATACCTGCCCCACGCATACTCTACTTCGAGATCTGGCAACCTAATGAGAGTGCCAGTGGGTGGTTGGCCCATATTTCTCACACTCTGTACAGCAACAATGAGGTCGACAATGGTAGTAGGAGGATTTTACAAACCCTGCCTCTTTTTCTTCTCACCACATTTCCCGAACACTGACATCTCAAGTCTCCCTATTTGCCCCATTTTACCCTAGTTAGAACAGACATTGTCCTAAGTTCTTTCACCATTATAGGTAAAATTGATGATATTCACATGGGTGTTTGGGCTTAGACATAATTTTATCACCGGTAACTCTATTCCTTTTTCTTGCATTTTAGAAGGCATATTAACTTTCAGTCTGTCATAATTGCTTGTATTAAATTATTCACAAATGTTGGTACTTCATTATTAGTGACCAACTGTTGTTCAAGGGATCTAGCCCCACCATAGTTCAGAACCCCTGACTTGGGGCATCTGACATAACTGTGGTACATGTCCTGAATCCCCCTTCTCTTCTTCATTTTTTACACCGCTGATAAGGATTCTCCATCATTCAGAAAATGTGTTAAGCACTCAGAGATGTGAAGTTAAATAAGGCTCAGTCCTGGCCCCTTAAGGACAAAATCTTAATTCACATTAAGGGAGACAAATACACACAAAAAAACTGTTGAATACGACATGGTGTAATAGTGCAAGGAACAGACTGTCATGGGATTTGAGATTCTAATTTATGAATTCAGAGCTATGATGTTGGGATCAGGCCTTGAAGAGAAAGGATTTTATGTGAGTAGCTAGCAAAGGAAGAAGGCATTCCAGCAAAGAGAACAAGATGAATAATAGTGTGAATGGGTCGAGTCAGCACTGGAACACCTCAACTGTCTCAGAATGTAGGGTGCATGGAGCCATTAAAGGGAATGGAAATGAAGATGGCGTTTTGTCACATAGTTCAAGGCCTTATAGAGGGTACCAGGGAGTTGGTCCTCTATCCTGTAGGCAAAGGGAAGCTTTGGATAGGCTCTTAGCAGTTGGATGACTTGGACTAAGAGGTTGGGTTGGGGCTTTGGGAGGAATGGGGTGGGGAGATCCTGGAAGTCAAGAGACCCGTTGGGACACTTGTACTGACCCAGGCTGAACGTGAGAGAACTCAGAAGCCCCTCAACAGGTTGGAAACTAGCTATCTTCTTTGTCTTTCTGTTTTCAGGACCAGCACCAGAGTGCCGACACACAGTTTGTGCTCAGTAATTAGTTGTTGAACTTAATTAACACAATTGACTGGAAGGTAAAGAAAGAGGAAGAAAAAAATGGCTTCATCATGTTTAGCTTGACTAGTCACATGACTTGCAGTTTCAAGTTGTCCTGTGAATAAAGCCATTTTGTGGTACCAAAAAAAAAAAAAAAAAAAAGATGTTTAGCTTGAGATAACAAATATAGAAAGGACAGTTTGGGCCATTAGGGAATGGGATAAAACGTGTTACTCTTGACAAGGTCTGATTTGGATTGCTGGTGAAAGGTATCCATGAAGATGTTTAGGAGACAGCCGGAAATAAATCTGGGCTCTCAAATCAGATCTGCCCCTTGGGCATGGATGAATTTGGGAGTTGTACTTTTTAGTATCTATCCTTATTCTTTTTCTGTTTGAAAAGCTTCTCAGCTTTCTATACCTGAAGCACTATCTGGCCCTCTCAGAAGATCAGTTGGTTCACTGTGGGACAGGGCCGCTGCCAGTGAGGCAGCTTCCATCTCAAGGCTTCAGAACTTTGACTTGCCTTAGGATAGCTTTACGTGTAAAGTTGTTTGAGCCTGCAGACCCATTGTAAACTGTCTGAGTTTTAAAAAAAAAAAAAAAAAAAAAAACCCAGGCCTTCTCTAGGGGACAGCAGTAATTTAGCATGAAGTGCACTGGACTTAGAGTCTAGATACCTGGCTTATTGTGAACTTGAATGATGACTTAGATTTCATTTCCTAAGTTATAAAATGGAGATGACCTCCCCTGCCATAAGAGTCGAGTCATTTGTGCCAGCATTTGCTTCTGAAATAAAATACCATTGTTACTTAGGGTTAGCTTACACCTAGTCACAACCGTCAGCATAGCATCACTTACTGATGTCCCTGTAGTTGCCCTGTTGCCTACCAGAGTAGAGGAGGAGAGGGGAAAAATATGTCTGTCCTGACCACAAAGCCATGGTTTCTGCCTTGACAGCCAGTTGGCAGTGTGAAGGATCCATAACTTCACAGACAGATACATGAGGTGCCCATGTGGAGTACACTTCTATGGTGATATTATATACATTGAGTAATTCTAGTTAAATTCAACAACTGCAGTTTACACATTTTTTCATGGAGGTTTTTATATAGTGATACTACTACCAACAAAAATTATAAATTTTACTAAATAGCAAAATCTGAATATTCATTCCAGACTCTGAATAATAAAATTGGAAAACAAAGAAGCACACAAAAAATGTACCACTGTTACTGTGGTCATACACTCTGGGAAGACTAGTGTGAGAAATTGGAATTAATTGCTATGTTAATGTCACTTGGGTTCAATTATCTTCTGCTCTGCCATACTAAGAAACTGCATGAGCAATTTAGCCAGTTGAATTCTGTTAGCTTTTGGAAGCATGCATGTTTTCTAGATCTTTTTTCCGTGTTATATTTTGACACCCACCCCCACCCTCTTCAAGGCAGTTTTCCAGCTGTTCCCCTAGGGAGTCATTTTATGGGAAGGTTTCTTTTGTAGGCTTCCAGCTGGCTTCATTTTCACTATCTCCATGAAGTTGCTGTTTTTGTCACATTTATATGATATTATCCATCATGCATTGCCTTGGGATTTTCCCTTTGAATTGTTGACTTCATGTTTCTGCGTTGCACATGCAGGCTGTCTCCTGGTTCGGACATCTATGTGACGGTCTCATCCATGGCTTTAGCAAGATCCCAGTGTCGGAACTCTCCTAGCAACCTGTCTTCATCCAGTGATACGGGCTCTGTGGGGGGCACCTACAGGCAGAAGTCCATGCCTGAAGGGTAGGTATGCCTTCGTCCCATTGTACATGGTCCCTGTTGACGTCAGTTCTTTCATCTGGACTCAGACATGTAAAATGACTTCCATTCAGCCAGCCTTAATCAATTTGCAGACAAACAAACGAGAAAATTTAGTTAATATTCCAGATAGAAAAATGCCTTCATGGCTGGTTTAAACTACTTCTTAGGAAGTTTATCTTCCTGTAGCCTCTACAAATAACTCAATGGCAAAGAAATCAAATTGCATTCGTTTGTCCATTATATATATTGTTTAGTTTCACAGTTCAGATTTTGTCACTTTTATTTCCTCCAAAATGGAAAAGGCACCTGTACAAGTTTAGGATGGGAATGAGAGGTAGTTAAAAAGCAAAACTATTTAAAAGACATAGGACGTGTTCCACCCTCTTTGGAGATTTATTTTCAGATCACACACTTTAAGGAATTCCAACCAGACAGAGCAGGTCCAAAGAGGGGGCCCAGGTAAATGAGGAGCTTGGAGACCATGTGGGAGAAAGAACTGAGGATGTGCCAGCCAAGGATGAGAATTGTTGAGGTGAGGAGGCCACAAGCTTTCTTCCAGCACTCGTAGATGAGGGATCAAGCTTGTCTGTGAGAACAACTGAGGCCAGTAAATGAAAGTTATAGAGAAGAAGGTTCCAGCCCATTTTGAGGAAGATATTTCAGAGCTGTCAGCCTGCCCTGGAAAGAAGTGGATGGCCTCATAAGGTAGAGTCCTTGTTCACTGAATGTATTGCATGTATCAGCCAAATGATTACTTAAAACTCCTTCAAATCTAACTGTGACTCTTAAACTACTATGTGCTTCTCCAAACAAAGGAACAATTAAACTCTTCAAAAACAACACCAAGTAAAATTTAGAACAACTTTTGTCTGAGCTCCTCAGGACTGGGTATCCCTAATACTCTGGCATACAGTAAAATGAGGGTGGGGGGCACATATGAGAAATGAAATTGTAAGTTAATCAGATGAAAATGTTTTTCAAAGGAGAGTTTAAAGATAGTCTTACCTTATCATTTACTTAAAACAAGAGGGCCAGAAAAATGTTCAGCTTTAATTAAGTTCAAATGTTTAAAAGGTTATCTTTAGTTTACACTGCTACTAAAAAATAAAAGCAAGCTGGGCACTGTGGTCCCAGATACTTGACAGCTAAGGCAGGAGAAGATTACTTGAGGCTGGGAGCGTCTCTTTATAAAAAAAAAAAGTAAAAGCATGATTAGAATCCATCTCTAACTTGTATCTCCATGCCTTTTAAAGAGATCTTAATACAGATTTAGAATGGGATCATAAATAGGTATATTTATTCTTATGAGTGAAACAAGGACCCTTAGGGAGAAGATGGCAAAAAGTATAATTGTGAGTCCTTTTTTAAAATGAGCACTTTAATCAATTAGAAGTTTTCATAAATCAAGGTTTTTATTTTTGGTAAGTGCTACATCAGTATGTGAGATAGCTTTGCTTAATGAGCCTTATGATGATGTATCTACATGAACTGCGTTTGTGTAACAGTTAACGGGAGATGGTATAATAAGACTTTTATTAAGATAAATGTTTTTTAGCCCCTTCTACTTTGCAGATGCTTTATGTATATTTTTCTCCTTGGATTCTTATAATGGAATTGCCATTTTACAGATAAAGAAATTGAGGCAAATATTCAGCGACTTTGTTCAGTCCTATTGGGTGGGGGTTGGAACTTGGCTCCAGGTCTTTTTTACTATTTATCTCCTGCCTTTCCAGTGCCCCACTTGCTGGTTCTGCCCACACATGTATCAGCCTATAGCAAGGAAGACACCCTACGAGCATCAATTCATCCAGGCCCGTCTCAAGCGAGATCCAGGCCCACCTTAGCCTCCCGAGTAGCTGGGACTGCAGTGGCCACCACACCCGGCTAATTTTTTATTTTTTGTAGAGACTGGGGGCTCACACTGTTGCCCAGGCCAGTCTCTGTTCTTGTTCTCAAGTGATCCTCCTGTCTCTGCTTCCCAAAATGCTGGAATTACAGGTGTGAGCCACTGCTCCTAGCTCCTGTTTGGTCTTTTATTGTATAGATTATGCATAAGTTCATTAGTAACCACATATAAATTAGTAAATGCCCAATGTCCGTATGAATGTTTAAGTTCTACACTCTGCCACTTTTTCGTGGGCTCAGTCAGTCTTTACTTTGTTGGTATTGCTAGTCAAGGCATATGCTTTAATTAAGGATGTATTATTATTCTATAAAGGGAAAAATAAAACTGGCTCACTGAATAGCTAAATGTTCTTTCCAGAAATAAACATTTGCCTTTATTTTTGGCCAGTTTACCTGCTTCCAGATTGCCCTTCCCAAAGGCAATTTAAAATTTGTACAGTTTGAACATGGTTTCTACATGATCTAAATGATGGTAATCTTTGTATTTCAGACCGCAGAGCTAGTACTCAGAAAATACATGTTCCAAGAACTACTGACTTAGTGATTTACTAAACTACCAAGTTAAGAGAAACAAACCTCCACAATGTACCACTTGGAAGCTACATATGGAATATTAATATTTAGATTGTGAAATTTTTCTTTTGGCTGTGAATAGGTCTGAACTTGGCTGTAGGAGGGCTTAGGAAATTTTGGTTTCTTACACTACATACCTTAGGTTAGCTCAGTCCTAATGGCTTCTGCCCTTGTTGTTAGGAGTTTGTTCACATAGCGTACATACCTTTCTGAGCAGAGTGATGTATATTGACCACAACATCCACATTTCCACACCCACATAAACACGAACCAGGGTGTGTATACAAGTACAGACACGTAAGCAAAACCAGTAGTGCCGGTCATTAAAATTTAGTTCCTTACACCCAGGCCTGCCTTCCCCTCATGGATAAGGTCCCTGATGTTGTCTTTGCCTTTGTGGAAATCACCACAGGTTTGGAGTGAGCCGCAGATCCCCGGCCTCCATTGACAGGCAGAACACCCAATCAGATATCGGTGGCAGCGGAAAATCAATACCTAGCTGGCAAAGAAGTGAGGATAGCATTGCTGACCAGATGGGTAAGTAATCAATTTCTACAAGAAGCAAGTTGCTTTTACAAGGTGTCTTAGATCACCTTTTGATGACGTTATCAAAGCACTGTTATAACAGATAGTCCTAGTTAATAAATATGAATTAGAATGAAGTCTGTTAGATTATGTATAAGTGAAAGCAATAAATAAGACCTAAGAGAAAATGAGTTCTAAGTAACCCCAAATTTAAAAGTGGAAAGGTGATAGGAATTATTTTGAGCACTTAGATTAAAAGAGTAGACTAACCAAACTAAGCACTGTCTTCCCCCATGTTTATTTGTTTTTGACTAGAATAAGTGCCTTGAGAGATTCCTTGGTATACTTAATGTCAAGTTAAAAAACAAAACTATGAACAAAGTGGGGAAGAGATAAAATTACTGTTTAGTCACATCTGTAGCTTGCTTAGAATCTCTTTCCTCCCTGATGTGCTTTAAAAAAAATTCTTCTCACTCTATTAAGCTGTCAGCTAAGGAAATGTCTTAGCGGTAAGAAACAGCTGGGTGGAAGAGATTTGCATTAGTGAGCTCGCGCCTGGATTTCTAGTGCATAGCCCTTTCTTTGTATATATGTGTTGTTTCATAGTGACACCATAACACTGGTTGATACAATAACATTTTGCCATGAAACAAGATTTTCAACACAGGAGCCTCAGGGATTTGGTACCAACACAGTTGATGCATCATTAACTTCAATCTAGATTGTTAGGTTGTTGGGTTTTTTCCCTCCTTTATTTAATCTCTAGTTGCATCAATTTAGGACAAAAAGGTGTACATTTCAGGGCTTTATAAGGCAAGACCCATCTGTTAATCTTCTCTGCAGATTTATTGTTTTGTCCTGTTTTAATGACTGTGCCCAAGTGAATGTACTAACCATGGACATAGAAAGGAGTGGAGACGTGTCCCACTAAGACAGGAGTTGAGGAAGAGAAATGGAATTCCTAGGTTCTGAAGATATGCTTTGTTCCAGTAGCTTCAGTGAGATGTGCCTTGTTATTGAAGCCATCTGTCATTCTCCACTCTTATCCCACCCACCCCCACCCCCACACAGAAAACCTGAGCATATTCTGATCTGCTTTTCTACTCTTGACAGAATGCTTTAAATCCCATATGTTTTGATACTGTTGAGATGGTAACGACACATGTGAAAAGGATCCCTTCTTCAGCATGACTTTTGCGGCTTTTTTTGGCTCCTAGTGCAGGCTTTGAACAAGGCTGCCAGCAAGCCCTTTGTGAAGCGTGCAGTGTCATGCCTCTTACTCTCAGGGAGTCACACAGAGTGAGAAGGGATGCAAAGGGTAATTACAAGGTTCTTCCTAGACCCCTGTTAATTCTTTGCACAGACCACCCTCTAGTCTTTTTTTCCCTGCATCTACTTTACTTTAGTGACATCCCACTCTTAATAGGTAAGACTTAAAAATGAATGTAGATGAATTTTTAAAACATATTTGTTCATCTTTTTTGTAAGGTATACCTTTTTAAAAAATAAGATACCCCTGAAGCCTGCCAGAGAAGTCTTTTCACCACTGTACAAGAGGTCCAAGTGGTGGCCTTTCACCATTGAAAATCCAACCCTTCAAATAAAATATTAAAATAATTTTTGATATCCCAGCATTCCAGGAAAATAACCCCAGCCTTTCCTAATTGGCACATCAGAAGGAATCAGAAGGCTTAGCTTGTATAAGCCATTCCAGGGAGAAGTCAAGAAAAATATTTGTTGCATTTTTTATTACCCAGTACCTGATATTCAGTATATAATGGGCTGACCTTCTCTACTCAGTTTATAAGAATAGCATTCTCTAATGACTTGCACTGATTGAGAATGTTTATGAGGTTTTTATTGGTTAGGTATCAGTGTATTATCAACAAGTACCCTCCAGGCAGTGGAGACAGGAGTGTAACTTACTGAATTGGCTCACTTATCTTTATGGATGTTTGCTTTTCTGCCTCTGCTTTTGGAAATGGTTGAGAGTCAAGGATTATTTTGCCCTGTCCTCTACATGTTAGGAAGGGTGTTGCAAAGGCCCAGGATTCTTGCTATTAGCTATAGTAGTGTTATGGAGGATAAATTCCTTATCTCTCACTTTTGGAACCCATCTTGAACGCCAGCTTGGAGTCCAAAAGGAAGCAATTGTTTTAAGTAAACTAGTTGCTGTGTGTCTTTTCTGTTGTGCTCAGCTTACAGTTATAGAGGACCTCAGGATTTCAATTCTTTTGTCCTCGAGCAGCATGAATATACAGGTAAAATATTTCCAAAGTGTCATGGTAAGTAACACGTGATTGCATCCATGCCTGTCTAGGTAATGTAGACCAAGCTAGGTTAGCCACACTTGGCAACGAATGAATTTCATAAATTTAATTCATATAATCTGAATTTTCCCCCAAACCAAAAGCTCATTCAGAACTTTGCTGCATTGTTCGTGGCCTTTGGTTTGGTGGTACTTGGCAATGCTAATGTGTATGATGTGACAAGTTGTCACCAGCTGCAAGCTTTATCCATCAGCCACTTAAATTTCTGACCTGCTGTCTATCATATAGACTCTTAACAAGCTTACTGCTGAAATGCAGAGTTCACTGGTCAGTGAACTGAAAGATGCAATGGCAAGCCATCTTCATTTGTCACCATGTGCTTGTTTCTGCTTGGTGCCTGCACCATAATGTCCTATGCTGTATTCCAGAGCCAACATGCCATCTCCCAGCAGTATCAAAGGTACTGCCAGCTTTCCGAGAGAGCCCCAGTGGGAGATTAATGCGGCAGGATCCAGTGGTTCATTTGTCTCCAAACAAACAAGGGCATGTAAGTTAACTGTAAACTTAAAAAATATTAGATTCCTAGCAATGTACCTTCCTTGCACTGAAATGCTCTGCTCTTTCCTCTGCATGGCCAAAGAGGAAATCATTCGGGCAAAGGGTGGTCGTTTGATGCCATGGCCTTGCAGTTTCTGCTGCTACCATGGCCTCTAGATTGCTTTGAGATAAATTATGACTCCTCATTGCTGTGCTTCTGCCACCCCCACAGGTCTGGTCATCTGATTCAGTCACTAACAATCGTGAAATGTTAAGAATGAAACTGGGTTAGAAGTTGATTTTATTTGCTTACACAGTTGCAAGCATGAGATATGGTTGGATTGTCAGTCCTGCTCCAACCATGAGAGGACTCCAGCAGGACTGATGCTCCAACCATATCTTTGATACTGCTACAGTAGAGGAGGTATAAGAGGCAGGCAGACAGCTTCCCCTATGCCTCCTCTACTGCTTATCTTTCATAGCCATACACATTTCATCCTTTTGCTATAGTAATACACAATTCCTTTTCACTTACAGGTAAAATTGGGAATAAGAGGTTATCATTCTCCAACCCCTCTCTTACTCTTTTTTTCTCACTTTTTTCACCTGATGCCTCTGTTGGGACAGGACACCCTCCCCATGCTGTTGATTTCCTTGGTGTGTCTGTTCACTGGAATGTGTATGTTTATACTCACTTCATTCTATGGAATGAGGAAATACTCTATTTCATACTTACTAATTCAGTATGGAGGATGCCCAGAGAACTTTTAATGAGAGATACATGTAAGTTCTATGGTAGAAAAATGAATATTAAGGCCGGGCGCGGTGGCTCAAGCCTGTAATCCCAGCACTTTGGGAGGCCGAGGCGGGTGGATCACGAGGTCAAGAGATCGAGACCATC